TGTCATCCTCCTTGGACTTTGCTATCTAACTTTTTGGTAGTCACATTGTTTTCAGTACTTACAATCTTTTTAGATACAAAGTTTCTCAATGAAGCTAAGGAAAACCTTCCCACAGCCCCCTTGTCTTCCCCCTTCCCCATCTCCACCAATCAAAGGAGTGTTGTAGTGTACAAAGAAAATAATTTGATATTCACTTGTTTTCTTTTATTATGAGGGACTAGTATAGGCGTGTTTATTGTTTTACTCATGATTTTCCGAAGTTCTTAATTCCTGGTGACTGGTAAAGAAACCTGGAGGAGTCTTAACTAGAAAAAAACTTTTATATTGTCTTTTCTGTCCTAAGTTTCCGTAACGCTCACATTTCGTGTCTCTTTATTTTTCTTTTATTACCGTTCTCAAATTTTAAAACATCAATTATATTTTTGGTTTCTCTTATGTGTTTTCTGTGTTTCACTAATATGTCACTTGTTAATAATCATTTGATCAATGAGTTTCCTTCATTATGCCATCCCGTTAACCAAACTCACATCCTATATATATTGAATCATCTCATCTAAAAATTTAAGTTATTAGACATGAGGCAAATTTATTTATATTATGTCTTCAACACACCTCCTCACTTGTAGTCAAAGGGTTAGATGTTCAAAATTCCATTGTTGGGTAAAGGGGTAATCCTAATTAGGATATTTGCTTACTTTAATATCATATTGAATTGTCTCATATAAAAGTTTAAACTGGTTGAGAGTAGACAAACTTATTTATTTAGTCTTCAACGTTATTTTTACAACCTAATAACTTAGGTTGCTTGTCATATCTTAGAGATACAATCATTTACAACTAACATGTGTATCTCGTGTAGAATACAATGAAACACATGATTTCTGTGTGAATTGTATTGTATTCATCCCTGTGCATGTGTATTTATATACAACCGAATTGAAATATAGATGGAAAACAATCCCGTAAGTTAGGAAAAATAAATTATCCTACTTAACTATGGAAACAATTAAATATGGCACATAAATTATTCTAAAGTCAATCCCTAGTCACCTCCATACATTCGGATTTTTACACTTCCCTTAAGTTTGATGTAAATGTTAACCATATCCAACTTGCAAATGAAGTTTTGAACTATCGAGGTAGTCCTTTGATGAAGACATCTGCTGTTTGTTGCTTTGTAGGGACGTAAGTCAGACAAATGACTCCATCTTCAACTTTTTTTTTGACAAAGTATGTGTCCACTTCTGCTTGTTTGTTAGATCATGTTGCACTCGATTCAAAGAGATGTTGACTGCTGCTTTAGTGTCACAATATAGTTTGAGAGTTTTCCAGTGACTTGCAATTTTCTAAAAGTTTATTTAACCAAAGTCTTTCACAGATTCCTTGTACCACTGCTCTAAACTCGGCTTCTGAATTGCTTTTTGCTACTACATTTTGTTTCTTACTTCTCCAAGTTACCAAGTTGCCCCATACATAGGTGCAGTAGCCAGTAGTTGATCTTTTATCTTCTGTAGAACCAGCCCAGTCTGCGTCTGTGGAAATCTCTACTTCCTCTCATTTTTCTTGAAGAATAGTCCCTTTCCTGAAGATCCTTTTAGATACATGAGAATTTTATATACTGCTTCCAAATGAGTTTCCTTTGAATGCATGTTGACTTATCATACTTACTGCAAATGTAATATTTGGTCCAGTATGAGATAGGTAGATTAGCCTCACAACTAGTCATTGATATATGTCTTTCTCAACTGGTTTCCAGAATTTTCTGCATTTCTTCCCTTCTCAATTGGTCTGTCACTTGGTTTACATCCAAGCATGCCTGTTTCAGATAGGAGGTCATCAATGTATTTTTCGTTGTGAAACACTAATACCCTTTCTTGACCTTGCAACTTCCATTCCTAATAAATATCGCATTTGTTTCTGTGTAGTCTACCATAGGTTTGTATGTATCCTTTTGACACAAGACGAGCTTTGTATCATTCCATTGTCCCATCAACCTTATATTTCACATTGAACACCCATTTGTACCCTACGGGTCTCTTTCCTTTCGGTAGATTCATCACATCTCAAGTTTCATTTTTCTATAGAGCTTGCATTTCTTACATTATTGCATTTCTCCACTTTGGAACTTCTAAGGCTTCCTATATTATCAAGTGAGGCATTATGAAACGGGGGTCAAAATAACGGCTTTCACGTTTCTTATCTCTAATTGTTTTAATTGGTTATGTATATAAGTTTTCCAATTAATTGCTAATCCTATATTACCAAGTGTAATAATAACATGAAACATAACACACACAAAAGGGAAACACACATAATTTAAAATGGTCCACTCTTAATGCCGTTACAAAATTGTACTATATCAAAGAATAGGATTACAATGTGTTTCTAGACTCACTCTTTCTACATTCTACTACAAAAAAGAGGCTCCTAATACATGTAAAAGAAGAAATATTAGGGCGACTAAATGTATTTACGGATTTTCTATGGTACCACCCCAAGTACTTAAAAATATTGCCACACATCCAAAGGTCGAGGGGAAAAGTGTAGTGTATTAGGCTTGTAGAAATTTATTCCCAAGTTGTAAGAATTATTATGAAGTGGAAGATGAGATATTTCACCACTTAATTAACTCTTAAACTATTTGCAGGTTTATTACATTGTAGATTTAGATAACAATGCCAAGTTGCTGAACTTCTCGGGATGTGGTATTTCCTGCATTACCTTTCTACTCTTCTTTATTGGTACCAGTCACATTAGTGTTATGAGTCATTAGCATTTGTTCTAAATCCATAAGTAGTTGCATTTAACGAAAACTATGTTCTACTTTCTTTTGGTTTATCACCGTTTTTTTAATCTAGATTTGACATTTCCATGGAACTCTTTTAATATGTGGTATAGATTTTGAGAATACTGTTTTACATCACCGATGGGGATGATCACCCATCTAGGTAATGACCCCTTGATTCATTGGTCAATGCATTAAAATGCATCACAAGGACAATGAATCAAGGGCCTACTGTCACCTAGATTGGTAGTCATTACAATTGATAATGAACAACATTACTCAAAATTTGAACTCTAAATATCTAATATTTCCCATTGAATGTGAATATAAGTTTGAGAGGGAAATGTAGATTGTTCCCAAACTATGAACTAATTTTGGTCTTATACTGTGAGTGTCATATAATTGTCATGCTACATGGTATAAAGTCTCTAGTGTTTTATCTCTCATCATTATTATGAGGAATATATGTAGTTTCTCATATGCAAATTTACACCAATATCCAGGAAATACATTGAATTGTAACCATCCTGTGGTTATGGAACTAATACTTGACAGCTTGAGGCACTGGTACATTCTCAATCCTTTTAATCTTTGGTTATATTTTCCTCATGGCCATGCTGGATAGTCTTTGCTAATAAAGTGAACAAAAGACATGCATGTCATGAAAATTATTCACTTGCTTTTGTCCTCAAGTTGTGATGAGTAAATTTTATCGTCCCATCCCTTGTGAGAATATCATGGCATGGGAGTCTCTGCATGTCGATCAAGTCTCGCCACCGCCTAATTATGGAACTTGTGCATGCTTCAGGATTTGAAGGGAAAAAATGAACCCCGCATACATGTGATGGAGCGTCTTAAAGACAAGATTTAAATAATATACACATGGCTCTCTCTAAGAATTTAAACTTTTAGATAAATTGGTTAACACACCCTTGACATGCTCATCCATTTGTCCTAGTATTTATTAAAATATGAGTTAGTTTAATTGATTGGTGATCCATCATTTATTGATGATTAAATGGGCAAATATTAAAATTTGATCATATGAAATATTTTAATTAAGGCCATGTTTGGTACACATTATTTTTTTCATTCTCATTTTTCTATTCATTTTCAACTACACATTATTCAATAAAATAATATTTTCCATCACATCAATAACTATTCCTTCAATTTTAACCACACTCATTTTCAACCACACGTTTTTTAATAAAATAATATTTTACATCACATCAATAACTTTTCCTTCATTTTTAACCACACATTCTCCATCAATCTACTATTCAATAATACATTCTTTCAAAAGAATGTGTCCCAAACATACTCTAATTGTTGATTCATCTTTTACGGGTGATCAAACGGATCATAGTAGGTAGGGTTCCCCCCACAAACCATTCGAGCTGAAATTGATTATTGTTCCTATGTAGTTTGAACTATCGATCAGTGTTTCATTCTCTTTGTTGTTTTTGTAAGTGGTAGGAACATAAGGGAAATTTTTGGGATTGCTAGCTATTAATTTATTTGTCTCCTTTCTTTCTCTGAATTATATTTTTGTTTCGTCATATAACTGTCCATAAAATTTTATTTCCTGATGAATATTTACTTGCACCTTTTCATAGAGATTCATTTGATATTCTTTGCAATGCTTTGACTTGTATATTTTTTTCATTCATTTTATTGAATATATATCTCTTTCCTGAATTGCTGTCTTTTCTATTAAAATGACTGAAGGGTTCTTGAATATCACGTGGATGGGTTTCGCTTTGATCTTGCCAGTGTTCTTTGTCGAGGAACTGATGGTTCTCCTCTCAGCGCTCCCCCATTGATTAGGGTAAGTCAAGGCACATTTTTGACTGGATGTTCTTTCATATGATCAACCTATTTCCTTTTCTTTTTTCTTTTGCACTTGTTTCCAGAAGATTGACATTCTATACTGTCAAACCTGCTCTGTATTTCACACACATGCAAAGTTGAGAACATTGCTTAGGTAACACAGGTTGTGGATATATTTTGGACAGTAATGATAAAATGGTGATGGAAAATGTCTATGATTCTGCATGTGAGATGCAATATAAACAGGAACCTTCTGATATATGTCGAATAAAAATTGACATGAAAATGATTTAACTTAAAATAAGGTAGGTGATTTACTGCAGTAGAACTAATTTTTTTGTCATTCTATCACTGTACAAATAAAAGATGATAGACAAAATTTTCTAATCGCTTTTTGGTTTATGTTTCAGCAATTGATAACTTGTACAAATGAATGTGTCGATTGAAATTATATATAAAGGTCCACTTCTATTGTCATTGACACTTTTATGTACCGATAACGGCTGCTGGTAGTGGATTTTCTGGTTATGGCATAAAATGACATTTTCACAGCAATAAGTTCATAATCCTGGGTAAAATTGTGCAAAATTATAAATTATACATTGTTGCCTTATTTAACTTTCTGCTGGTTTGCTCATACTCTAATACACATGACTCTAGATGTAACACATATATTGAAAGTAAATAGGAGATTTGGTCAAAAAGAGCCTTGACTTAGGACATATGTACATAGACATGTCATCTATTGTATTATAAGAATGTTAGCAAGCACTAAATAACTTCTACATAAAATTGATGATATGATAAGCAGTAATTTTATTTCAAGGAAATAATTTCCTACATAAAATTGATAGTATGAAAAAGTAACGGTAATTTTGTTTAAAGGAACATATATCATTGTTGATGACAATTTAAATGAGTACTTTGTCCCTCTTTGGAGCATGACCTTTTAGATGAGGTGGTTCGATATGATATTAGACAATGGGTTTAAGTCTCGTTGCCATGCATTTATGAAAAATGTGCTTGTGCCATGCCATTGATGAAAAATTGAATCTAGCCTACACAGTGTGTGGAAGAGAATATCTAAATAAATAATATTTTCTTATATCTAAATGCATAAGCTTTTTAGGTAAGGTGGTCGAGCAATTATAGATGAGAAATGATACCAAAGATGACATTTTGTTCCTTTTCGGGTAAATTGTAGTTTTGTTTTGGTTCTTGCTTCTTGGATGGACTTAAGTGTTGGAGAGCCATGTTCATTGCAATAGGGTCTGGCTAAAAATGCTCGTTAGTAGAATCGGACACTGGTGTGTTATGGATACGTAAACATTAAAGTATAATGTAGCCTGTTTCTATAGTTNTAAAGTATAATGTAGCCTGTTTCTATAGTTCGGAAGTTAACTGATAGAGCCTCCCTAAAAAAAGAATAATATTTATTTTTTAAAATTTTGTTTTAACAAATCATAAAAAAGTGTAGGGAACCTTATCAACTGAAGTATTCTTGGTTTGTAATGAATTTGAGCTTTTAATGTGCAGGCAATTGCCAAAGATAGTATCTTATCCAGGTGTAAACTCATTTCAGAACCTTGGGATTGTGGAGGTCTTTATCTTGTTGGAAGATTTCCAAACTGGGATCGGTAACTTCTACATGATTTTTTAATTCAGTAGATTCGACTTTAAAATAATCTGCAGATACTGGAGTATCATTTTTACTGTTGGGCTACATTAGCATATATATCATTATTGCTGATTATTGCCTATTCGAACTTTTACTGTGGTTCATTACACTTTAGTTGATGTCACTGGCTTTTCATCCAATTTTTTAAAATATTTTACTGTCTTTTTATTATTACATTATTTGTTTAACAAAATTTGTTCCAATAATTTTATTGTTGTATACACAAAGTTTAATAGTTTCCTACTACAATTGTGATTTAATTTTTTTAGTTGTGTTTATCTTTTCAATTGTGCTTATCTATCCTAGTTTTCTTTTATAGTTGTGATAGGTTCTTTCTTTTATTTGATTATTAGTACTATAGTTTCAATTTCCTAGCATTAGTAGAAGTAGGGAATAATCTTGTCTATAAATATGGAGGCATTGTACAATTTTTTAACACGTCAATTATAAATTCAATAAAAAGCAAGATTATTCTAATATCGTTCTTACTGACAATTCTTAATACGAGAGTTCATAACCGCTTCCGCATCAAATTGGTATCAGAGCAAGAAAATTGCCTCAATTTGATGGTTGATGATGGTTCTGGTGGCAGGCGAACTGTTGACTACAAACGGAGGTTTGAAAAAAATCGAACAATGAATAGAAGGAATCGATGAAACTCTTCGCAGCATCACGTAGATGCTGACTACGTTGATTGTTGATAAGAGTCGCGAGCTCATAGAGGGACAACCAAACCGACATGATAATTTGCTCGAACACTTGGTTCGTTTGCCTACACAACATTCCTCATTCTATAACTTCTGATAGAGATGTAAAGTTTCTAAGTCATTTTTGGAGAACGCCATGGGGAATATTTGATACTACTTAAAAGTTTTGTAGCACGAGTCATCCCTAAACTATGGGCAAACAGAAGTGCTTAATTGAACCCTTGGCAATATGATTCGAGCAAATAGTGGAGATAAACCAAAACAGTGGGATGTTGCCCTTCTACATATTGAGTTTTCTTTTAACAATGTGCCTATTTGATCAACCAAGAAAATTTATTTTGAAGTCGTTCACACTAATATTCCACGGCATATGGTAGATTTGATTCGATCCTCTAATGTCAACTCTAATGTCGAAGAGTTTGCAGAACGTATGCACAGAATTCATCATACTAGTGTTCCAAGACTTACAGTAGATTTGATTCGACTTCCGAATGTCAATTCTAATGCAGAAGAGGTTGCTGAACTTATACAAAGTATTCATCACGAAGTAAAACAAAATTTAGAAGATACTAGTATTCGTTACAAGACTACTGTAGACCAACATCGATGCCTTAGGTTGTTCAACGAAGGTAATTTGGTGATGATCCATCATAAAAAAACTCGTTTTCTTGTTGATACATACAAAAAGATCAAAGATAAGAAGATTGGTCTTTTCCACATTCCTCAAAAGATTGGCGATAGTTCTTACAAGACTGACCTTCCAACTAATATGAACATTTCCAATCTGCATGAGTTTTCCTTACGATGGTGATTTACCTTTTCTAGTTCTGTTTTTCTTTTCAATTGTGCTTATCTATCCTAGTTTTCTTTTATAGTCGTGATATGTTCTCTTTTATTTGATTAGTACTATAGTTTCCATTTCCTAGTATTATTAGAAGTATGCGAATAATCTTGCTTATAAATATAAAGACATTGTACACTTTTTCAACACATCAATTATAAATTCAATACAAAGAAAGATTATTCTAATATCTTTCTTACTTACAATTCTTATTACAAGAATTCATAAACGTTTCCGCACCAAAAGTGCTACTGGGAACTTATTCCTCCACAATAGGCACTATATAATAGGGGTTGCATCTTTTGAAGTTGTTTATGACTGTCTGAATTAATAAAATTGGCCTCTTTGGTCCCTAATTTAAAAGATTCCATAGTTTGCTTACTATACCCGCTACTGTAGCATTATAAACTGTATTGTTACTCTTGCGTCCGTCGGGATAAATCTGACCCCTTCCCCTATTCTCGCCTATGTATATAAGATATTTTAAAAAGTGAACATCTTTCTACATGTAATTGTAGGTGTTCATAGTTCATCTGTTACCTGTTTGTGATGATTGTTTTATCAGGCTTCTGAAATGTAAAGATACCATGCACACAATTACTTGATTATTATGAGAGTATTTTTTATGATCTTTAGTCAGGTACATCATATTCAACTTGACGGAGTGCATTTTGTAGTGACTACAAGTTTGTTCGTGCTTGGTTGGTAGTTTTTTTTAATAGGTAATCAGATAATTTTATTAATCAAAGAAGAATACACAGGAAGTGTATTGTCAACTTAAACAAGAAAGAAAAGACATGAAGTTAGGCTGCCCATCTATAGGATTGCTAGCTGTAGCATTAAACCAAGTATACAAAGTCAGATAAAATAGTTCTCTAATTTGTTCTGTATTCCGTGTTTGGTTTTGAAAATATCTGTTCCTTTCTCTCCACATGCCATACAATGCATCCCGGGATAAGATTTCATACAAGTTTACTATCCTTGTCGCGAAGCTTTCTTTTCCATTCTCGCAACACGTCTTCTATATGTCTAGGTAACACCCAATCTATATGTTGAGAAGTCAAAATATGATTCCACAGCCAGCGAACACCGTCACAGTAAATGAACAAGTGGTTACGCGTCTCCCCATCACTTCTACACATAGCATCGGTTACATAAAAGTCTTTTCTTTGGAGGTTATCCATTGTTAATGCTTGTCATTTCACTACCTCTGTAGTAAAAATGCCTCCCGTGAGGCAATTTATATTGCCACACCATCTTTCAGGGGAGTGAACTCTCCAAATGTCCTAAAATAGATCTAAAATAAGATCGAACTGAAAAAATACCATTCCGTGCCAACCTCCATCGGCTACAATCGTCTTCTCCTACTCAAATTTGCACCTCATACAAAGAGGTTAGAAACAGTGCATAATTTTCCAATTCTCAATCCTGCAAACCTTACTAAAAAGTAATATTCCAATTGTAATTTCCATTGTGAATGGCTAAAATGCCATTCACTATAGCAGAGGACACCATAGTAATGCGATGCATGGAAGGAAACCTCACTTTTAGCGGTATATCTCCACACCAACAATCATCTCAAAATCTGATATTATTATCGTTCCCCACCACAAAAAACAATATGTCCCGAAAGTCGTTCCATCCCCGTCGAATATACCTCCACAAACTCACCCCTTAAGACCCACGACCTTCACCTGAACACCAGCTGTAACGACCCGGGTCCCACTTAACGGGCTGTCCTGGCCGTTAGATCGACGACATACTGTCCTCACTGTACCAACACAGGTCTTTTCAGCATGCTTTGTCCTCACTCGCACGCTTCCCGAGAAAACTTCACAGGGGGTCACCCATCATAGAATTGCTCCAAGCCAAACACGCTTAACTGTGGAGTTTCTAACGATGGATTTTCGGAAAAGAAGGTGCACCTTGTGGTATGAGTAGTACCTATCAAATCTCTTAAACTTTCTTGGTCTGGGGTATTACAATCTCCCCCCGTTAGACTCGCGACGTCCTCGTCTCGCTTGATCCATCTGAG